AGTGGTTCAAATAAGTCTTAACCTTTTGTCTTAACCGCAGTAAGACATGTTCAGAAGAAAATAGAATGAAGAGAAAAATAATATAAAAAAAACGGATAACTTGTGTGGTCGGACTATTTTTTTTTTTTTTTTTCATTTTTTAGGCCACCGTTCTTAAATAGCTTAATGTCGCATAATAGTTTTAAACCATTATTTAACAGGTGTGAACTATAAGGTGATTCACTATGAATAAAGAGCAAACATAGATTTTTATATAAATATAACCTACTAACCATTTAAATATCATAAGGGACGACCATTACGTTTTAAGGCAGTCTAAGTTTAACTATCTTGTTCTTTCATTTCATTATATTCTACAATAATAGTAAAGGTTCAATTTTGGAATATTTACATTTCAAATTTTCTTTTAAAAGAGGGTAATAAATGCGCTGAAAATGTGTTAACAGATTTCGTGGTCTTTTGTTATTTTAAAATTGGAAATGAAATCCAAATAATCCTAACCTAATAGCATTTTCTCCATTGTTGATCAATATAAGATCTTATGTCAATAATATTTATCAGTTGCAAACATACGTTTTAAAACTAATTTGTCAACTTGATAAATACAGTGAAAGTATAAGACCAAAATAATCACGCACGCACTTTTCATCTCCTTTTACAAGATCAATTAAAGAAAATCTTTCAAGCTAATTCTTAAAGGACATGCCTTTGAATTTGTGTTCTCTTGGTAAAGTAAGAAAGCGTAAAGAATAAAAGGTTTCGGTGTATTTTAAATAGTCGATTTAAACGTTATTGTCTTCGGATGGAAATATTAAAACACACTCGCAGTCAACTCAAAAGCGTTAGTAATGATATTATACATAATATTTTCATATTTTGTATAATGCCGCTTTTTATTATTATTATTATTATTATTATTATTATTATTATTATTATTATTATACTTCACTTATTCTGGAAGGACACCTTCAATTTAAGAATTCTAATGTAATATTTTACAGCATGACATGTAATTCTGAATGCTATGAATCAGTGAAAGTTTCACAGTATGTTGTTACTTTCATTGTTGCGAAATGCATTTATATGGTACATTAAGAAATATTATTCTTTTGAATCATGAATCGTATAAGCGGTTTCTCATTATGCATAATGAGAAACCGCTTATACGATTCATGATTCAAAAGAATAATATTCAACTTAATAAATTTATAAGAACAAAAGGGTCTTGGACAAGGCAGACGACAAGGTAACTCGAACATACCTTAATATATTGACATATGTTCAGTGGCCTTATATTAGTCCAAATTAAATATATGTTCCCTAATACAATATGTTTGAAGGTTAAAATAGATACAGTAATGTTTCAAATGATTTTCATGAAGTTATGGACAATTCCTTGGCGAGAAAATGTAAGTTTTCTACATATATAATAAAGGAAAGACTGTTATCTTTAACAAGTCTGGCAGATTCAGTGTGATACACATTTTAAAGCAGACATTTCATTTAGACACCGTCAGACAACCAAACACAAGAGCTGACCGGTGTCTTTGTAAGGAGAGCAAACACAAAATGGGAAAAATCATTTCTTTTGGATAGAAAATGGCGTATGTGAAGATCACCATAATGTTTTTTTTTTCAGAAACTCTTATTTTTTTTATTTTTTTTTATTAATCTTTATTAGTGTTCGATTTTTTTCCTACTATGAAACTTGGACACATTTTCTCGGACAATAAAGTTTTTTATGAAGCCCATGCACTGTTTTCGATCAAGAATGAGAGCTATGGCAAAGTGACTTTAAAATATCTGCCGCCTAAACAACTGAGGTACCGTGTGTTCGAACCCGATTCAGACTTTGCATGAAGTGGCTGAATTTCTATTCAATTAAACTTTAATTACAGTCAAACTTTGATATATGTTTTAAGTAAGATAATCTCCATTTAGATATATGTAAATGCGCTTTAGATTTTACCACTTCTAGTGAAAATATATATAAAAAATATTAAATGTCCGAACTTTTTTTTGTTGAAAACAAATATTATTAATCACCTTTTTTCATTATATGACAATCACAAATTATTCTCCAATTTCTTAAAAGACAAAAGTTGCTATTTAATATCCCTATTGGATTTCAATTTTGCAATGATACTCGGTCGTTATGCCTCAAAACAAAAAGATATTATTTATATATATTTATACAGATCGGTATATAATCAGATATCAATCTTGTGTGGTTAGCTGAGGTTATTAATTTACTGATTTCTTGTAATTTGAACCATTTACAGTGTCATGCTAAATACGTATTCCAACTAAAACATTACATAGGAGATCTGGTGGACAAGTTGATAGTTGGATTTGCTCCCTTAATGTGTACCACTTTCCATTTAGCATTATCTGAATTGTATGGTAGCTGGTAAAAAGATATAGGTCTATTTACTTTCTATTACACATTAAGAAAATAATGGGAAATTCATGAATGAAAACGTTATTTCTACTGTGAATTTTGTTTCATGCCTGTGACATAAAAACCCTGAGTCAATATTATTTTTTACAATAGATATACATGTATCAATATTCATATGATATATAAAAGAAGTTTTTCAAGCGAATTTACAGCCGCTGGTTTGCCAATATATCATAGTCTCAAATTAGTCTTGTTTAAACAAATGAGCCCTGGAACATTTAAGATCTCTTTCAGTTGTTATTTCTACTGTATTATTATCGTTTCCAAGAAAATGTTACCAAGGCTTGGTGATACCTAGGCCCTGGCCTATATGACCTATTATAACTTATTATATAACCTTTACATGAAACTTAATTTCTACAAGAGAGCCATTTGAGGTTTGTGTGGTTTTCTCTCGTTAAGGTGCACATATTTTCATCTGGTTGGACAAATAGCAAAATAAATGTCTGTCTTCTTATTCTTATTATTATTAAAAAGATAAAAGAGCTTATCTTATCAAAAATTCTGCAGTACATAAATGCCAAGGCGCAATTAAACTTATTCAAGTGCATTTTTCTTCTCAATTTGTTCAATAAACGGTCCCATATATAGACTTTGACGTATTGCCAATGGTTTAAGATAGCCTGTGTCGCGTATATAGTGTAAAATAAGATTGACTATTAATACATGAAATATAAACCATACATTAAACCATTGTTTTAAAACTTGAATTGTTAAACATTAAGCTGACTGTAGCATTCATATATCTAATTGGCAATTACAATTAAAGGTGTTAAAATGTTATAGAAGGTTCAGAAATATTTGATCCCATTGTCTTACCAATAAAATGGCGGATTGATTTTTGTAATTTTGCTATGAGACATTTGTTGGGGAAAATATTTTTATAATAAAGTGCAATAAAGTTATTATTTTTTATTAGTGTGTATTTAATGTCAATTATATCAAGATGACGCTTACTTATGAAGATATGAAAAGGTGAGTGGAATTTAACGATTTGGCTTATTGTATGTTACCTTAGTAACGGAAATTTGAACTCGACTATTAATAGAAACTACCCGTTTTTTCTTAGTTGGTGTATAGATCTATCGGATTTGTATTCGACACATAATGCTGATTAGTTTCTTATCGAAAATATGACACTATAATATTTAATATGGTAAGCAAAAGAAGAAAAACAACTTTTTAATGAAACGCTACCACATTGTATTGCTGATGTGGGCATATACTAAACATATAAACTTTGAAATTGTTACGTAAATCAACTGATGCAGCTAAAATGAATTGAAAAATCAATTTGTGCTGTGCCCGATTTGAGTTTGGCTTATTTTGCAAAATGGAAATGATTATTCATGAAAATCGGAATGAACGAATGATCTGAAATGCCGCGCACCCGTTAAGTTTGTACACATCTACTGGTATAGAAATCTTGAAGATGTATTCTCAATCCCGTTATGTTATAACATCTCACTTGATTCCATATAAAACAATGAGAAATTTTTCTACTGAGAAACACTTATAATAGAATGTTATAATCGTGTAGCTTCATTACTAAATTTATTGAACTCGAATAAAATAATATAATTCTCTCATTCAATAGATCCAGTATTGAACCTACATCCATACAATATCATGTAATAATGAATGACTTACTATAGTAATATCAGTAGTTGCAGCAGAAAATCATGCATTAAACGACAATAATTATGAAAAAAATAAGTATATGATATTGAATTTCAGTCACGGGCAAAGTGATTGGCCATTCCTTTAACGCGAACACACTCTAGACTGGGATTGAATTGTCTTAATGTTCATCTTGCTTCGTCGGGTCTGTCTTCTTTTAATTTATCGTGTACTTTGGTAATGGTCATTAGGCAGTACCTTTTTGTACATATTTAACCCAATCATTTATGTGTTATATTTATTTCGTCTAATGCAAACATGATCATTGTTAGAATTTGTTACACTTTCGTGTTATATAGGAACATATTGAGGCTAAGAGCGAGGTTTGGCGCGCCTAAAACCGGTTTAAACTCCCCAGTGGTGTAACTACATGTACCACTGAATGTTCCAAGGCGGGACCCCTCTGTGTTCCTTCACGTGTTCTTCATGTCTGTATTGTTATTTGTTTTAAATGTTTACGTATTGTGTGATGTCTTCGTTAAAGGCAAGAATATTCCCCTTTTTCACCCTTACAGCCCTTGTCCCTTTAATTCCCATATGGGCCCGTTTTAGTTTTTATTATTTCACACATTACGTATCCCTCTCCTTCTTTCACCGCCCTTATCTCCACTCCAAGTCAAGTCAAGTCATGTAAATTTTATTTATACGTCGGATACATATAACAATAAACCTAAGCTCATATAAGCTTTTTACACCGACTACTGTAATGTTATACATGTACATTAAAATACCCCCGGTTTTGGTTTTGTGCCATCTGGGTTCCCTGCTGTGGTGCCTTGGGTGTGTCGGGAGCTGCGTCCTTGCCTTGTTGATTTTTTTACGTAATTGACGTCTCATCCTTTCGACGTCACGTATAACACGTCATCACCATGGCATAAACGTTTCCTTTATAGTTGATTAGCTTTATGTATATAGAAAGTTATCAGGATTATAATTTGATAATTTATTGTTATAAATCTAAATTAATTTGAAATAGATGAAGGTAGACATGGACCTTCGGATAGAAGATCATCTTAGGTAAGCCAGAATATTTATCGTCATAAGAGGAGCATACTTGAGCATAAAATTAGATCTATCATTATGAGATTTTTTTTATAAGTATCATAAATCTATGTTTTTGTGTAAATTGATAGTTTTATAAAAATAAAGAATTAAAATTGAAAATGGTGGGTCACTATTGCAGCGGATATATATCAGAAACGTTTTTCAGAGGTGTGTGGCAAAGGTTCGATATTCAATGTATGCTGTATATTTGTGTAATGACGAGGAAGTGTTATGTTCAATTCATATTGTATGATAAAATTTGTTCTGTTCTGTTCTTATATTATGTTAAGTCTAAAATAATCTAGAATACGTGCTAAAAATATAAGCTGACTGTTTCCCAGAGCATATCTAGAACTACACAATAAAGAAGATGTGTAAATATGTTAACTACATTAAAATAACACTTATAAAGTGAAAACTAAAAATTAATAATAAATAAATAATATTTCTATCTGTTTATTACAATAACGACAAGAACAGCGTCCATTGTGTTTATCCTAATTATCCAGGTGGCTAGACCCGGTACTTGTCCCCGAGAGAGAGAGTCAGAGTGTGGAAGAAAGTGTGAGAGAAATTGAAAGTGTGGAAAGTGTGGAAAAAATTGAGATACCTAGAACAAGAAATGAAAGGCCCAAGTATATTACGTTTGTTTCTATGCGCGCCGATTTTTTTATTACTCTCTTTTTATTCATAAGACCTAAAAAGGTCGCCCGAAATTCGAATTTATCATGTTTCTGCATATTTACTATTTTACATGTTAAAGCACCATGCCTCCAGATTTGTGTTTCATTTTATGAATCATAAAACTTGTTCTCTTAAGTAATATGTTGTCATTTGTAAATATCAAGTTATTTAACCTAGTATTAATTAAGCACAACTTTCTACAGTAATACCTATAACTTGGCAAATGTACAGAAATGGTCTTATAACATAAGTAATTGAGTAGAATACAGTGATAAAACGGTCGATTCTGTCATAATTTGCACACTATATTGATTTTTAATATTATACATTTTCCTAAATTTTGAAGATTTATGTTTCTGTCTGGCGACTTGTCGCTTTAATGGTAAATAATTATAACAATAACAAAAAAGTAATATTATAAAAACTTTTTTATTATATATGTCCTCAATATATGTCATTTAAGCACCTTTTTTATCAATTTTCACGCTGAACTAACTTCATGTTATACATGATGTTATTATTGTGAGTTTTTGTATGAATCTTTTCGTGCAATCTGAAGCAGTATATTTTTCATCTATTCATATATTTCACACCTTATAAATATAAATTGCCTCAATTATTTAACACACAGGTATATTTTACTTAAAAAGAATAGAATAATCTGGAACCAAATATTATTCTGCTATTTCAAATAGACTTTATTCGTTTAGCAATGGTTTCGTCCATGTGAAAAGGCAATTTACAGTCAAATTTCTTCCATACAAGCATTTTAGAAGTATTCTTATCAATAATTTTTGCTATACAGCTATATACACTTAAAGTGATTTTATTAATCTAAATGTGTTTTCCTCTTTAAAGTTGGTGGTGTGAAATGAATAGTTCACGAGGTATTGTTGAGTACCATACTAATTGTTTTGGACCCGTTCATATCTCCAAAACCTATATTGGACGAGTCGCTACTGGTTTAAGCGCTGTGTGCCCTTCCATTGTACTCAGCAATATATAATAACTGCAAAATCTTACATAAAAGATAATTTATTCCATTACTTTGTAATGCTTTTATGTGAAATGAAATCGTATAAAGGGGACTTAACCATTGTTATCAATAAAATTGTTTTAATGGCTTATATAATCTCCCTTTTACAAAAATCGCGCATTCAGACCATTTTCAACTATTAAAGGCTCTTAGTAACAAAAAGACAGATACACATGCATTTTTTAATATTTTTTTTTTGTCATGGAAATGCTTTTGGAAAATAGTTGTTTTTTCTGAACTACGTACATGTTTACATTCATATTCGTATGAATAGAGAAATGTATTTTAATTTTTCAACACCGTGTTTCTCATTTTCATGGCACTTCCTAAAGTAAATTATTCTGTTTCTTTCATTTCAGAATGACCTTCTGGTCAAGGTATGATCCTGTTAAACAGCCGCTAGGTAACACTGACCACTGGACTAAAATGAAACAACGGGTGGGAACTCTTAATTGTAGTGATAGTTTTCATGTTAAATTATGAATGTTTTATCCGTATATTCTAGAAAATCTAGGACAAAAGTTGAAAAATACCAACCCATGTCGTCTGCTTACAATAGCAAATAATGTCATAAAGCATTTTCTTGAAAATTCCCTTGTTTGGTGTAATTGAAATTGTAATATATACATTGTAATGCTAAAAAATTATCATATGTAAGAAAAATATCGCATTTAAAATTTCACATAATTTAATCATTTTTGTGCAAAATTTTATTATAAAACAAGTTAACTTTATCCATTGAACATAAATGAACGTCTATATTTGTTGTCCTATTGTAGGCTGTACAACACCAGTCGTTAGACAATCCTGCCAGTCTTGGTGCACCAATGACTCTAGGTATGCTATGTTACACGATCACGGTGGACAATCTGGCGCAATGTACATAGCGGCGAGAAAATGGTTGACTACATTCAGCGGACAACCAGGCGCAATGTACATAGCGGCGAGAATGTGGTCACCCTGGTCCATTTTTATTTTATATTGTTTGAGTCAATTGTGGAATATTTGCTAATCTGGTGAACTTAAAGAGAAGTTTTCCTGTTTTCTACCTATATATATTATATAATCTTACTTGAATGAATACCACAATGGCTCAATGGGGAAATATATCTATTAATCAGACAAATTGCCGGACTTGTTTGTGATGTTTTGCTGTTGATTGAATACTAACATACGCAAAGGATGCTTACAATTTTCTTGACTTTTTGCAACAAAACTGTCTGAACATAAATGCATTGGTTAGGTGCACAATAACACATTGAGCATCTTTAGCACAAGAGAATAATTCCTTTCAAATATTTAAGTTATCGGATGGGTTCAGAGTAAATCCATTGGCCGGTTTACTTAACATTGGCATACCAATGTTTACTGAAAACAATTGACATTGGTAAATTGATTTGCGTGCAAACTAGTGCCACGTCTTACGTCATTCAAAATGACGATTTGATTTTCATTGTTGTATAAAACTTTATTTGATCATATTCATATTAGGCTGAAATAGATGTAATATAGCAAACTAACAAAATGTAAAAAAGTGCCAGATGTGTATTTTTGATTTTTTTTAATAACAATATAAATTACAATTACAACTGAACCAATTAGCTAAGGACTAAATTTATGATCAACGTCAGTCGACTCATTAGTTCACCTTTGGTACCACTGTTTAATATACTGGCAATGACACAAACAGTACGATAAAATCCTTCCAAATTAGATTGACAACCAGTGGTATCAAAAGTAATTAATGTTATTTGATTAATGGTATTTTAGTATTGGAAACATGTTATACACATAAATCACTGCTTCTTTTTACAATCATTAGATTTTATTTTTTTTACAGTAAATAATATTTAATTAATCACTTACTAAATTAAAATACACAATGTTTTGAAACCTGCACTTGTCGGCTTATTTTACATGGTGTTTTATATTTTCTTTTCTTGGCTTTTTCTCTAATGTACGGCTTTCGTGTGGAGTGGCGTGGCTTTGGGTGTCAGTTCTTTTCAACACTACACTGAAACTAGAAACCAATTCCGGCTTACGTATGCCGTTGCAGATCCAACCATCACACGGGCGCCGTACCAACGAAAAAGCCAACTTTTAGACATGACTTTTGACGATTTCATTGCAGACGGTTTACAGGGGGCGATTCCGGGCAGTTACATGTACACACGACCTAGAAACAGCGTGAGCCGGGAGTCGTGCAGAAGTGCTTTTAATCAAAGAGCTCGACAGGGCTTCAGATATTGGCTTATTGAAAGACCAAAACCCACCAGTTGTAAGTATAATGTTAACATCCTACACACCTTTAATGAACCGAACACAATGGGCACTAAGCACCGCATGCCACAAACTAGCTTTTGATTCACTTTACAATGTCACTTGATTGATGCATGCTATATCAGCTTTATTTTTCAATCTAATTTGGCTAGGGTAATTGTTTCATTTTACTTTAATTAAAAAGAAAAAAAAAAGGAAAAAAAAGATAAAAAGGCATAACTTCTTGCACCGATAGCTTTCCAGTCTTTTTTTGCATACATAGATAAATCCACCAGTGTATCAATTTTAAGTAATTGCCTCCATTCACACATTTATTGTTAATAGCTTTAGATGAAAATTGCAAACTGTACATGTGTTTTCTTTTTTCAATAAAAATCACGTGCCTACGTTTCAGTCTGGAAATATTCTTTTGCTGATGTACGAATAATGCCTCGAGCACGGGTATTTGTACCGAAATAGGTACATTTCGTAAAATGGTAGTGATTTTTAAGTAGTATATGTAGATTTTTTGCCAGTTGTGCGGGTATGGGATGCTTGAAAAAGAGGCGTGGCTTGGGTTTGCCTGAGTTTGACTTACAAGAGCTTTGTATTTCATTAATATGTGTATTTTTCAATGTTTTATACCTATATATAGACATGGTTTGGTTACCCAGATTTATAATTAATTATTCCGTACAATATATTTATGTAAAACAGAGGCGTGGCTAAGTTTAAGTTTTAAAATACATGATATAAATTGTAAGTAAGCAATATATATCATTCATGTAAACTGGTACAAGTGCGCACGCTATTTTGAGCCTAATATCAAAAACTTGGTATTTATAGCTATATTTTGTACATTTCTGTAATCAAAGCATAAAAATTAACAAAGAAATAGGGAAAAGAATTATCAACCATTATAAGAGGTCTCAAATGTTGATGAGAATGGTCATGTACACACCTGTCTTATGTCATACAAAAAGATAAACGATATATTAAGGAATCAAAAAGAGAGAAACTGCCGTTTGTATCAGTTGTTATACATAATTTCTGGTTAAACATTGTACAGTTTTGTAATTCCCAACCTATTTTTTTAGCATATAGGTTGCAGTAATGCAACGATCAATTTCAGGGTCCCCACTCTATTATTTCGCGGAGTCTCTGATTTTTTAATTTTAACAACTCATGAAGGTCCCGCACATCGGGGGGAAGTGACAAATCTCTCAAAAGCGGTTGGGGGAACAGGGTTACAACGTATCAGTTGCATAACTTTTTCTTAAAATTCTTATTATGCAGCCGAAAATTGCATCAATGATTAGCTTTTTACATTTACCTCTCTTATAAATGCATTATTACCTTTAACCCCATTTACTCAATTTTGAGAACGTACAGTAGTTGTTTGAAAGTACTGTATTTTTACATATTTAAATAAGGAACTTAAAACTAATCAGTGCAGAGAATTTGCTTAACTTTTAAATGATTAAAAAAAATAAAATTTTGGTTTGGCACTAGCATATTGTTCAGTTATCCACCCCTGAAGGTGAGTTTTGCCTTTTTTTTACTTTTTTGTCTATGTAAAACATGGCAGTACTGTAGAATAAGTCTCTAAAGATTTTTCTGTTTATTGCAATGCTAGAGGTAATATACTTAAGGCATGAAAAGTCGTTACCTTTCAAAGATTTAAATGTTTTTGCTATAGTTTAAAAATCATTGATGAAATTTAAAGCTGACAAGAATTAAACAACATTTTCGAATTTATATACAGATTTTGTTTTTTGTTTAATGAAAAAGATTTATGCTTTATTAACCCAAGATTTGTTTGATCAAATACGGTGTGTGTCTTTGTTTTATGACAACCATTTTTGTTTAAACATACAGTCTAAATTTGTTGAAAGACAATGCTTGCAAAAATTTAAAAAGCCAGGCAGTCACTGAAAACATGGAAGGTGAGAGTTTGCCAGGTGGTGAAGAGCTTTGCCCTCTCAACCCAGATACCATGTGTTTGAACCCTACTGCGGTCCTAACCATGTTTCCTTATAATATATGGCACCACTCTTGACTTTCTACAGGAAAGCTGTATTTAGAATGTTTAAAATAAACTCAAAATGCTGCTAAAATCAAATATGTTTTAACAAGACATAACTTGTTTATATATACATTTTTGACTGTATTGTTAAACATAACAGACCAGTCTCAATCTCCTACGCAGTGATCTCCCCTTATCTGTACAGAGATAACAATATGCCAAGGGAGGTAATCAGTGTGAGGAGTTTGGACCAGTCTATGTTTAAACTTTTCACTTTATTTATTTAGTTTGAAATACATGTAGCTGTTACATACAGAATCTGTCAAATTTTGAAATGTAAGGTTGAGAATGCAATATGAAAATATCATTCACAATATTTTGCAAATTTAAAACATTCCTTACTTAGTTTGTTGTTAATATAATAATCAACATTTGTTTTTATGTAAAAAATAAAATTTAATTTTCATTATTGCATTGTCCTTTATAGCCGTGATATGATAAAAGGTATTGTTCTTTTACAGAAGTTTACTTTTTCAATTTTTAAAATATTTTAATAATGAAAATAATAATTATGTTTTACTTTGAAAAAATGATGTAATACTGTGTATATTTTATCATTAAATTCTCATTTATCAGACTTGAAACATAAACAATTATTTTCTATCATCAGAATAATTCAAGGGTGTTAAAATTTTATGCCAGTCAAACCTTTCCATCGAGTTCAAATTATTTTAACCATATTGACTTATAAGACCAAATTGTCTGTTCGCATCATTAAAGACCAGCTGTCTATTCGTATCATTTTAGCTATTAAGACCACACTTTCTGTTCTGATAATAGTGGCTATTAAGGCCAACAGTCTGTTCTGATTATAAAAGGTATTAAGACCAAACTGTCTGTTAGGATAATTTTAGCTATTAAGACCAAGACTAAACTGGCTCTTACCAAAAAAAAAAAATGAAAAAACATAGTTTTTGGTATTAAGAAGTCTTACAAAATAAGTTTAATACCTCAAATGGGAAAGTAGAAATTGTTGCCTTTAGAATCAGGTTTGACTGTATTTTGCTTTGATATAATCAGATATTTTGTTTTCAATTCAAGCACTGTTTGTCAATGGCATAATGCATTTATTATAATGTACTATTGTTTTTAATTTGATGTCACTATATGTATATTCTATTATAAAGAAAAATACAAGGCAAAATAAAGGGGCATGTCTCCAGATGAAAATTATTCTTGGTAAAATTTTATATAGAGTCACAGTACCTGTGCTCGACCAGCCCAGTGCTCGACCAATACTTCTATTTGTGTACGATTTATGCATTAAAGTGGAAAAACCCTGGGAGTTTGTGTGTGCTATTTGTACCTGACCTGTTACCTCTACACCATGTACAAGTACTCCAAGTTTGGTAGAAGATTGGCCATTTTGCAGACAATATTAAACAGT